TATATATATGTGTGTGTGTGTGTGTGTGACTGAACAGTCATTAAATAACACTTGCAGAAAATGTCATAGCCATCTCTAGAAATGACGACAATAAGTGTAAACTTTATTTTAATGCCCATTTAATCAAAATCATTCAATATAAACCCTATTTTGAAAAGGTTAACACACCACCTGTATAGGTTTGGTCACAAAGTAGAAGTATATCAAACAAAACAGCTGATTAAATACAGGAACAGCAAAATAAACGGATGGGGAACAAAAAGTGAGGAGTGCTGCAGTGAGTTCACAAAGCAAACCCATGATCTGTTTCCTCCAGTGAAGAAGAAGCTGAGCCTACCAGGAGTGCAGGGAAGAACCAGAAGAAGAGGTTGCTGTTGTACTGCTTGTTGACAGTCAGGTACCCAGAATAACTCTTCACATTTGCTCCAGGCAGGTTCCCAACCATGCTCAGCTTTCTGGCTGCAGTGAAACAGCAAAACATCCACCATGTTGGAAAAAAGACACACAGAGGAGGAGAAACAGAGTCCCTGTTGTGATGCGTCGGTCTGTGCTGCTAGCTTGGAGGTTTCTGGTGTTTTAAGTAGCTTTTACCTTCATCTATGGCGCCCTTTTCCAGGTAAGGAGTGAGGAACAGAGGCGGGCCGGGGTCCACTCCGTTCAAGCTGCTCACGTGATGAGATTTTCGGCAGAAAAACGACGAGCACCTCCGGGAGTTTAGAGACTCCACGCAGACCCAGAGTAAGAGGAAACCCAGAGTTTCCCTCCACAGCCTGCGAACATTCACAACATTCAAGTATCAGACTACACAGGCCCAGCTCCGCTCAGGTGTCCGAGGCACCGCGAACCCGCCCCGCGAGCTCAAGGAGAGGTGAAAAACACAACTTTAATTTGTCCAAACTCACCTCATCTTCCCTTAGTTTCTATGGCAACGGGACTTCAATTAGACCGACGTCCAGGTGGATTGAAAACTTACCCACAATGAGACAGGGTCACATGATCAGATCAGCGAGGGTCGTGCGGTTGCCAGGTAGGAAATAACGAAATGTCGGACTTTCGCTTTGAAACGAAACTACTTTTCATCTAAATGTCGTTTTGAGGCAGCGCTTCTTCGCTCAGAAGGCAGCGTGGAGGTGCACTTTCTGCTAAAGAGCTACCTGGAAATGCCAAAACTATCTCATATTTGTGCTTTTAAAAAAACTTTTATGGTATTTCGTATTGACCTCAAAACTATCGCGTAAGCAAGGTAATTGTCGTATAATTGGCAACACTAGAGTCACGTGAGCGTTAGTCTATGACGTAGCAGCATGTCTAAAGTTGCTCAATTTTGCCCTGAATATTGTCTTACAGGGATCTTGAGTTTGTATCATTTCAGGTTATTTAGCTGCTAACAGAACCCAACAGTGTCCAGTCAGATCTGTACGGTTTCTTTTTTAAACTGAGATATTTTGTACTTCATCCAAAGAACTTCTTCATCTGAGGAGCCACCAAACAAAACTGATTCCCACAACAACAGCATACTCCATAGTGGAAAAAAAAACAGTTTGCTGGTGCTAAAATGACCTCCAGGGCCCTCCCTCTCCCCCATCATCTCCTCTGAGACAGTCAGACCAAAGTGGTTCAAAGCACCCAAGTTCATGCTCAAAATCCAGGTATAAAATCCAACAATGTTCAGGCAGGTGGACGGTTTCTTTTTGAAAGTGAGAGGTTTCGTCCTTCATCCAAAGGACTTCTTCGATCTGAGGATTTGACGGGGGAGAGGGCGGGCCCCGGAGGCCCTCTTAACATCAGCAAACTGTTTGCTGTTGTTGTGGGAATCAGTTCTGTTTGGTGCCAGATTGAAGAAGTCCTTTGGATGAAGGACGAAACATCTCATCTTAAAAAAGTAACCATCCAGATGACCTGACTGAACATTGTTGGATTTTATACCTGGATTATTGAGCATGAACTTTGGTGCTCAAGCAGAAATTTAGGGTATTTCTTTAACTTGTTTTTCATTCATCTTAAAGTTGGTTTTGACTTAGTCATCCTTGATTCATTCACAATAGTTTTAAGCTGTAACTGATCGCTCGAGATCTGTTTTACAAATGTTGCCATGAAAGGCTGGAGTCAGCCATGTCTGTCTGTTAGCAAAATATCTCCCGAACCACTGAATACATTTAATGAAACGCTCAGAAATGGTTGTGCGTGTAAAAGCCATTATTGGTGTCAACCTAATTTAAAAGACCACACACAGCTTATCAACTTTAACCACCACACAAGTGGCTATAACTCGTTCAATTTGAAAAAAAAAAAAAAAAAGTGCTAAAATTTGGTGTGGTTGTAGCTGAGATCATCCTCAACACATACTTTAAGCACTAACGTAAGCTCGCACAATTCTGCAGGCCGTTTACATAATGTGCAAAGTTTAACTAGAAAGAACATTAGTTCACATCTCTGGTAGGACAAGACTTTAACTGTTTTATGGTTTTATTTTTAAACCTTTGTTGTTTTAAATGTACTTTAAGTTTATATCATTTTAAGTCGTTACCGTGTTTTGGAGGTTGGAGAAGGACCAAGGCCTTCACCTTTGAGGCCCTGGCTCCACCGTGG